CCCTAAAAAAAAAAAAAAAAAAAAAAAAAAAAAGTGATTTGTGGGGGCGGGGCAGAAAACCTTACCTAGAACATAGTACTCACTCAGTGAACAGAAAGAACACTGCCTGTCTTTCTTTTCTTTAACCCGCCACTTTCAGAAGTGCTGACTATGTGCAGGACCATGTGTCCCCACATCACCTTTCTCCAGCTACCCCCCATTTTCTTCAAGTGGCTTTCATCACCGGAAATGACCTGAGATGTTTGTTTTCGGCTCCCTCCACATGGTTCTGCACCTGGAACCACGCCTGGCCTGGAGTGGGTGCTCAGGAATAAATGGTGTGGAACAGGAAAACGGACTGCATAGCTTGGACTTAGATCAGGTTGCCAGGGCAAGGAGAGGAATGGAACTCACAGCTTCGGGGGGCGGGGGGCAGCACAAGGCACTGGACTCCCACATGGCTGACTGTGTTTCGAGTCCTGGACCTGGGGGCTTGAAAATCACACCAGGTACATGTGCATGTGTGCCCCAAATCCCAGGAGAAGAATGGAAAAGAGGGGTCTGCAACGTGACCATCCCCTCTGGGGGGAGTGATTTCTCACTTTCCCTCTCACTATTTCTCTGCAGTGAACGCATGTGCCCTATGGCAAAAACCTAAAAAGAGAGTTTTTAGAACCCAAGATCTCCTCCTTTCCCCCCTTATCCTCTTAGCCCCAATCCCTCTCCTTGTTACCCTTGAGAAACTATCAGTAGAAGCAGATTTTTTTTTTTTTTTTTTAATAAAGGAGAGCTCCTTGCCCCACAATTTATTTTGAAACTCAAAACACCTGCCAGGGATTTGCACCAAACACAGTCGGTCCAGGTGGTGAAATTTCTTGGGCTTGGTCTTTTATTCCCACCCCTCCCCACACCCCACCCCCCCCCACACACAGGGAAGGTCGCTACTCCAAGGGCAGGAGCTTTGCAGTCTAAATCTCTGAGCCCAAAATATCACTGCCTAGAAAGGTGGTCGATTACAGTAACGTCTTTAAACCCACAAATGCAAGAATGGCCTGTCTGCTGCAAGGCAGGCTTCTCCCCTGAGGATTCTGCTTCAGCTAAGACTGTGGGGCTCTTGGCTATACGAGGCTCCACTGTGAGACTCTGGAGAAGCCACTAACTTTCCCTAAGCCAGTTTACTCTCCCTGCAAAGAAAAGGTAATAGCTATGGGGTTGTCAAGAAAGTCATGACATTTTTTTCGTGTCATGACTTCTCCAGCAACCTAATATTTATAAGTATAGGCATAGATAGGTGGTCAAGTTAAAAGGGCAGATGGCAGGCCAGCAGATGGCATAGAGCTTACGTTATTGGATTCCTACATGGCCGACCATGGTTCCAATCCTGAACCTGGTGGCTTGAAACTCACGCCGGCTGTGTGTATGTGTGTGCACATGTGTGCCCGCGTACGCACACGCTCAAGATCCTGGGAGGAGAATGGAGAAGGAATTGCAGTGTGTGCAGTGTGGTCATCCCCCCAGGGGGTGATTTCTCATTGTCTCTGTCTCTCTCTCCTCCCACTCCCTCCACCCCCATAGTGCATGTGCCCTAGGGAAAAAAAACTCGAAATACATAAAAAAATAAATAAATAATAAAATAAAATAAAAAGGGCAAGTGGTAGTTGTGATGAAACAGTTCATGTGGCACGAGCCCATTTTTGCCCAATAAGTGTATACAGCAGTGATAATAAGCTAGTTTAAAAAGTGATTCATGGGGTGGGGGGAACCAGCAGTTAGTGTAATGGCTATGTCGCTGGACTCCTGGGGGCAGAAAACAGCACCTTACCTAGAACATAGTACTCACTCAGTGAACAGAAAGAACACTGCCTGTCTTTCTTTTAACCGCCACTTTCAGAAGTGCTGACTATGTGCAGGACCATGTGTCCCCACATCACCTTTCTCCAGCTACCCCCCATTTTCTTCAAGTGGCTTTCATCACCGGAAATGACCTGAGATGTTTGTTTTCGGCTCCCTCCACATGGTTCTGCACCTGGAACCACGCCTGGCCTGGAGTGGGTGCTCAGGAATAAATGGTGTGGAACAGGAAAACGGACTGCATAGCTTGGACTTAGATCAGGTTGCCAGGGCAAGGAGAGGAATGGAACTCACAGCTTCGGGGGGCGGGGGGCAGCACGCATCCAGGTAATGGGCTGGGCTAGGCAGAGGGAAGTCGCAGGCTTCCGCGCAGGTCCAGCAACAGTCTTGGGGCCCGGAGGAACCTTGCTTCCCGCAGGGGGAGCTGCAGTCTGTGCAGCAGCCCTGGGCCTACAAGACAGCAGGGCTCAGAGTTGGAACCAGGCAGCAGGCTGGGGCAGCCAGACTCCGCTTTCCAGAGTGGGGCAGAGAAGGACGTTGGGCTTGGACAGGTCAGGATGGGGGGACCCATAGGTGCTGCAGAAGGGAGAGACGCAGGGACTACATAGCAGAGGTGTCTCAGGGCGAGAGCCTGCAGATGCAGGGAGACATGAACTGGGCTTTTCCTCCCCAAAGTCCACCCCTTCTCACCAGCAGGCAGCGCCTGGTCAGCAGCACTAGGCCCAGCAGCAACAAATAGATGCCCACAGCGATGAAGACGATGGCGGGGATGGGCAGCAGCAAGGGAGGGCTGCTCACGGGAGCTGGGGCTGGATTCCAGGGGTTAGGGGAGGCCTGCTGAGCACAGGAGGAAGGTGGGGCAGGAGGTGGGGGATGGAGGACCCCAGGAGTATCAGGAGGAGAGGAGGTGGCTAGGGCCAGGGACCACCACCAGTTGGTGGGGAGAGCCTGAGACACCCTGACTTACTATCTTGTCCCACAAACCTGCCTCTTCCCCTGATATCCCCACCTCAGCATCATCAAGAATTTGCTGGTCATTCTAGAACCTTCTGAGGTTTACCATCTTCCTTTCTCAGTGTGTCTCCAAACAGATCTCTGTCTCTGCTCCACTGCCACGACCTTAGCATCCCTCAGCCCTCGTGACAGCAGCGAACTTTCGGGACTGCAGTTCAGTGCCTTGCCACACCAGCTGCCCCGGGGTGCGCCTCCCTTCCCCACAATCCATCAGTGGCTCCCCTGGACTTGGTGAAAACGTCCTGTCTCGGAGACAAAGGCCGGGGCCAACCCTGCCTACCTCTCCCTGGCTTCCCCAGACTCCAGCCACACTGAAGTCGGAGCAGATCCCCAAATGCTCTCAGCCAGCCCCCTTCCACGCTGGGGCCTCGGCCTGAAAGGCCTTTCTTCCTACTGGGTGACTCCCCTTGCTAGGACCACGGAACCGTGCTGGGGACGCCCACCGCGCTCTTCCTCTGCTCTCGCCCTGGGCTGGAAGGGTGTGTGCGGGCGGGTACGAAGCCCTGCTCAGTCGGGGCGGTAGGGCGGCAGGTAGGGAGTGCGGGCGTGGAGGGGCCACTCACGGCCATGTGGCGGGGGCGGGGGGGGGGGC